CGCGGCTTCCAGCAGCGGCGGCGGCGAGCGGCAGCACGTGGCAGGAAAATGGCGGCAGCAGGCAGTGTGTGGAGAGGACCGCCCCGAACACGAGGAGAGAGCGGGAGAGAGAGGGGCGTGCCGCGCTGCCTCTTTTATGGGGTTTTCGGCGCTCCCAATTGGCCGGTTTTGTATTTCCGGGCTTTTCAGCCAATCAGACGGGACCTAGTCCCGCCCCTGCTTCCGGCCGCGGCTCCTCCCCCCTACACACACAGAGGGGGTTCAGCACCACGTGGAGACGCCATTTTAAGTCAGTTTTATCTGCTGACTCAAAGGACATTTCATGTTCATGTAAGGAAATACCTGGTCCTTCACACAGTGTGATGTAGTCGATTTGCCAGGCCTCCCCAAACCTGTACTTTGACCATGTCCCCTCATACCACAAAAGTTTCAACCATTTCACCTGCTTAATTGCAGCGCACGTCTCACAGTCATGGATCACCTGCACAATAGTGTCCATGGTAAAGTCCACCCCTCAGTCACGAGCCCATTTGTATGTTGCATCTCTGGCCTGATGACCTGAAGTGTCATGGGCCCATTGAGCCAGAAAGAGCTCACTCTTATGTTCCCAGCCTAAGTCTATTTGGAACACTTGAGCAGCCTCATCTGCTTGTTGGTTGTGTCAATGTTCCTCAGTGGCTCAACTCAGGTAGGTGACGCACTTTTACCGCCAGTTTTTCTACCCAAGCTGCAATGTCTTTCCACAGGTCAGCAACCCAAATAGGTTTGTCTTTTCGCTGCCAGTTGTTCTGCTGCCACTGCTTTAGCCAACCCCACAAGGCATTTACTGTCATCCACGAGTCAGTGGAGAGACAGAGCCTTGCCCATTTCTCTCGCTCAGCAATGTCCAAAGCCAGCTGAATGGCTTTGACCTCTGCAAACTGACTTGATTCACCTTCTCCTTCAGCTACTTGTGCAACCAGTCATGTAGGACTCCACATGGCAGCTTTCCACTTCCAGTGATTCCCTACAAGATGAAGGAGCCATTGGTGAAAAGAGCAAATTTTTCTCAGTCTCGGGTAGATGATCATATGGAGGAGCTTCTTGAGCCCATCTCACCACTTGTTGTGGTGGCATTCCAAAGCGTGTGCTTTCTGGCCAGTTTGTAATTGCTTCTATGATGCCTGGACAATCAGGTCTTCCTACTCAAGCTTACTGAGTGATTAAAGGAGTCCATTTACTCACATCAGTGCCATGGTGGTCAGGAGAAAGGTTATGCTGGAATGTAAATCTCAGCACTGGTAATCTGGACACCAGGAGGAGCTGCCCTTCAGTGCCGATCACTTCCGAAGCAGCTCTAACTCCTTCATTCGCTGCAAGTATCTCCTTCTCAGTTGTTGTGTAGTTGGCCTTGGAACCTCTGTAGCTCTGGCTCCAGAATCCCGAGGGTCGACCTCGAGTCTCCCCTGGTGCTGCCGGAGGCTCCAGTTGAGACCCTTGTGTGATGCCTTGTGTCCGGCTGCAGTGTAGAGCACATTCTTGATGTCTGACCCTGTTCGAACTGGTCCAAGGGCCATTGCCTGCACAATCTCCTTTTTGATATGCTCAAAAGTTTTCTGTTGGTCAGGACCCCATTTAAAGTCACTGTTCTTTCAGGTCACCTCATAGAGAGGTTTCACAACTTCAATGTAACATGGAATATGCATTTTCCAGAAATCAACAGTCCCAGAAATAGGTTTGAGTCTCCTTTTGAGCAGATGATGGGACCATAGCTGTTATTTTGTCAATCATATCCATTGGGATCTGGCAACATCCATCTTGCGACCTGATTCCCAGGAACTGGATCTCTCATGAAGGTCCCTTGACCTTGTTTATTTTTACAGCAAAACCAGAATCCAGAGGAATTTGGATGATCTTTTTATCTTTCTCAAAGTCTTCTTCTGGCGTGTCACTCCACACAATGATGTCATTGATGTACTGCAGGTGTTCTGGAGCTCCACCCTTCTCCAGTGCAGCGTGAATCAGTCCATGGCAAATAGTTGAGCTGTGTTTCCACCCCTGGGGCAGCTGATTCCAGGTGTACTGGACTCCCCTCCAGGTGGAAGCAAACTGTGGCCTGCACTCTGGTGCTATAGGAATAGAGAAAAAAGCATGCGCAATGTCATTAGTGGCAACACCACCTGGCTGCTTTCGACTCCAGCTTGTACTGAAGTTCTAGCATTCAGGCCACAATAATCCACTGTCAGCCTCCACTCACCATCAGGCTTTTACACTGGCCAATTAGGACTGTTGAAGGGTGAGTGAGTCCTGCTGATCACTCCTTGGCCCTCTAATTGCTGGATCAGTTTATGAATGGGAATCCAGAGTCTCTATTGGTCTGATATTGTTTTCTATGCACCGTGGAAGTAGCAATTGACACTTGCTTGTATTCAACCTTCAGGAACCCCATGAGAGAAGGGTCATCTGAAAGGCCAGGCAAAGTATGCAGCTGTTAGGTGTCCTCAGTCTCTATAGCTGCTATACCAAAGGTCCACTGGTACACTTTTGGGTCACGGAAATATCCTTTGTTGAGATAATCTATGCCAAGGCTGCATGGAGCATCTGGGCCAGTCACTACATGATGCATTTGCCACTCCTTGCCAGTGAGGCTCACATCGTCCTCCACAACAGTCAGTTGTTGAGGACCTCCTGTTACTTCCGAAGTAGTGACTGTGTCTGTCTTTTTATGATTTGATGGATTTAAGGTGCACTGTGCACCCATGTCCATCAAAGCTTTATACCTTTGTGGTTCTAATGTGCCAGGCCATCGAATCCACACAGTCCAGGAAACTCCGTTGTCCCTCTCCTCCCCCTGGCTGCAGGCAGGGCACCAGTAATGCTGAGCGTTAGAGGTTGATGCACCATCTTAGGTGATGTCTGGTGAAGCCTTCTTCTTGGATGAAATATCTTCTGCCTTTGTTCTGTTTAGTAGCTCTTGGACACACATCTGGAGAATATCATTGGGTTTATTTTCTCACATTCTCATGTCCTTTTTAAAATAATTATGCAAGAGAGACCACAGGTGGCGTCTCAGTGGGTCCTGTCTCTCTTGTTGCTGTCTCATAGCAGGACGTCTCTTCTTAATAGCTGCAACATGTGACCAGTTATCTCTAGGGAGAATCTGGAGTTTACCTCCTCATCTGTTCGGCTTCTTATTCTTTCTCTTAGTCTTTTGTTCAATGGCTGAGTGGTGGAACTGATGGGAATCAGAGATCATGTCTCCATACTGTTGTGCTTTGATAGCTACTTCATGCACAGTTGGTCTTGCATCATCATCAAAGCATCCCATGAAGGAGAATATATGGGCATGTGCTGCTGGTACAGCCTGAGCAAACTTCCAGAACATTTGTGTGTCACATAGAACATCATCAGTATTTGTAATTCCATCTTTATCATAGATCACCTCTCGTACAGCTGTTTCTCTCAAATATGTGATGGCTTTCTCAAGAATGGGTGCTCTGCTTCGGTGCCATTCAATGTCACCCTTGTGATGGTACGTCTCTCTCACAACTGAAAGAAATTGGTACCAGAGGATGGTAGTTTTTATCTTGCTACCAAGTGCTCTATCAATACCAGCATCTCAAGCCATGGATCCCAACTGCTTGGCTTCTCTCTTGTCCATGTTGTAGGTTTGAGTCCCAGTATCAAAGCATTGGAAGAACCATTGGTGTGAGTGAAGTCTTTTCTCATGAGGTGCAGTTCTTTCATAGAGAAAGGCTGGAAAAGTTCATCGTCATCATCTGATTGAGGAAGGCCTGCTGTTCTATCTACTTGAGAGTGGTCTGATTTTTTATCTGTTTGAGAGGTACCTACTCCATCATCTGATTTAGAATCATCTGCTTCCTCAATGTCAGTCTCTATTGTTGCTTGAAGAAACTCTGGACGTCTCAAGGAGGAGTGTTTTTCCTTTGCTTTGCTCCTGTTCACAGGATTAACTAAGTTGATTCAAATGGGAGTGGACTTAATCTTTGTAGAGTAGCTGTTTTTGTAGCAGCACTTGTAGAAGCAGCTGTTTTTGTAGTAGTACCAGTGGTGATCTCAGCAGCAGTGGCGGTGGCAGCATCATGGGTGGCAATTGTGGTGGCAGCAGTAGCAGTGGTGGTGGCGGCATCACAGGTGGCAGCAGCAACAGTGGCAGCAAAACTGCCTGTGGGGGATCGGCAGTGAGTGGAACAACACGACACCCTACACATCCACAGTACATTTCCCTACTGCAGCAGTGCTATTCAGATCAAGAGCTGGGAGATTCAGCTTGAAAGAAAATGGAGAAAATTGAACTGCTACTGGCATTACCAACATGGATCATTCTGTTCACTTTATGACATTACAGAGTATCAAGGACAATTTGCTACATATACACTCCAATTTCAAGCACTTGCATATGTTGGTCATGTAAAATGTTTGATTTCTTTAATCTAATCAGAGGCTCAACACTATGACACTCATGCCTTAGTAGCTGTAGGCCTTTCTGGGTAGTCTGACTGTCCTGCTTAATGTCCTGTAGCAAAATTTTTACATTTTTGTAAATGTTAGGCTTTGTTTTACACTTATGACTCTCTAAAAAACTTGGAAAATGTTCATTTCAGAAAGCTAGGGATTGGCACAGACTCTTCATAATTTCTTGTTTGACTTCTAATGAAATGGGAACTTAGAGGGTGGAAGTTTTCCCCGAGTTAGAGCAATGCCAGTCTCTTAATCTCTCACATGTACTTGGAGTCAGCAGTAAGCTAGTGCAATGGAAGAAGTGAGACATTTTCAGCAAAGAGTGAATTCTAGAAGCAATTAGATCTTTAAAAATGGTTTAAAAATAAAAACCACATATTGCAAGACTTGCAGCTTAGCAGACTTTGCTTCTTTGCTCTTATCTTCATTGGCTTAAGAGGCAAACTGAGGAAGTGTTAGAGCGTGAAATAGATGATGTGACCTGTGCTGACATAATTTAAGAGTTTTGTTGGATTAGTTAGCATAGGTTTGTTCAATGTATTAATACTGTGGACAAACTCAAGGATATTGGTGACCTATGGCCCGTTTCCCATTAAAATTGGAGTGATGTGACTTCCGTGTCACCTGTTGAAACTTTTATATTGAAGACTACTAGATGGATTTATAGTGGGTTTTGAACATGACAGATTTAATGAGTTAAGGAAGCTAGAAATTTTTACAACCTAGGAATCTGTGCTATTAAAAGGAAATATTAAGCTGTTAGCTAACTCCTAAATCAGTTCAGCAGATGTGGAGTTGCCTGTGATGGGTTTGTATGGAATCAATGGATTTCTGGAACTGATTTATGGCCTTTAAACATTAGGGTTTCACTGGATTTTATTTTCCTTCTTTCTTTTCCTTTCCTCGTTTTCCTTCTTTTTATTTTGTCAAATATTTAATATTCACAAATATAGTGTGAAGAATGAAAGAAGATTCTGCCCCTCCACCCCTTCTGAATTTTTTTAATATGAAAGTTAAGGTTTTGATTTTCTGTTTTTC